GAAGAGGTTACTAAATGTCTTAAGTTCAAACAGGATGCAAGTAGCAGGACCAAGATTTTAAACTGAGCAGGCTACCTTTAGCTATCACACCACACTGCGATTGGTTGCCTGTTTCAAAACTGAGGAATCATATCTATTTTAAATCATTTTATTGGGAGTTCATACAACTCTTATCACAATCCATCCATCCATTGTTCAAGCACATTTGTACATTTGTTGCTATCATCTTTTTCAAAAATCTTTCTCTCTACTTGAGCCCTTGGTATTGGCTCCTCATTTTTTCCCCTCAGGAATCATACTAACAAGCTTTGCCAGCTCCTCTGTCTAGAAGTTCTAAGTTCTCCAACTAGGATGTTTTTGCTCACAGATATTAAACAGCTACCTTCCTCTGCCACAAAGCATTTTTATTCATATAATATGAAAAAATGTTGATTAAAAAAATGTTAAGTAACAGAGTAGGAAAAGTTGTTAAATAACTTCCTAGACTGCTGCTATAAGAAAAAAATCACCACATAGGAGGAAAAACTAGAAAAAAATGCACCAGTGTGCTAAAAGTGGAAAAAGCAGACCATTTTCTTTAAACTGTGTAATGTGTGTTTGTTCACTTTAGTATGAAAAAGACCATATTTTTAAGGGTGTGGTGAGCTGTCTTGAAGCAAGCAGAACCAGGGACAAAGCTGCTCTCTTGAAATGCTCAACGCCCAGACACTCTTTTCCTCCAGTGGAGCGAGCTAGCTGGGCTAAGGCTGGTTACAGCTGAAAGCTTGCCGGTGCCTCAGACAACAGTGGTACCACTCCATCTAGTCTTCCTGCCAAATTCCAGAGCTGTATTGATATTTGTCCTCCCAAGGCACATGTTTCCTCTGGAATTTTCACTTTAGTTTTATCATTTCACTAGAATTGTAAATATTAGAAATCAGTGGTCATGTGGCAAGGAATGTGAAACTCTTTGCCCTTTAGCTCCTTAGTGAACCAGCTCTGTCCCAGAGCCTCCAACCCTGGGCAGGAGCCAAGGATAGCAGGTACAGAGCAGGAATAGCCCGTGGGGATTCAGTGGGATGATAGGCCATTAAGATTTTAGAGAAAAATTTTTTAAGTTTCATTGCCCAATAAAAATTTATACTATGGGGGAGCGGGGAGGGAGGGGAAAAATGAGGACCTAATGTTGGGGGTTTAAGTGGAGAGAAAATGTTTTGAGAATGATGTGCAGATGCGCTTTACACAATTGATGTGTGTATGGATTGCAATAACAGTTGTATGAGCCCCTAATAAAATGTTTAAAAAAAAATTTATAATATGAGCCACATGTACATTTAAATTATCTTGTAGCCACATTGACAGAACAAATAGGTGGCAATATAGTTTCAAAATTACACAAAAATTATTTTATCAGATATTGTACGTTTTGGTACCACAGCTTTCAAATCCAATGTATATTTTGTACATCATAGTACATCTCAATTTGAATGCAAAATTTTCATTTTTAATACTTAATCTGTATTTAAATGACATAAAATTTACAGCTGAAAATAATTTGTAAACCCAAATTGTTCCAAACATGTAAAAAGTTTCTAAGAATTGAATCCATTAGCAGCTTTCAAGTTTCAATTAAATATTTAGTTACTCAGGGTGACACACTAGTCACCTAAAGCAGCTGGCTGGTAGCTGCCACATTAGACGACGCAGTTTTTGCATATTGAACTCCCTAATCTTTGTGAAGGAGCCCTGTGGGTTATACATGGGCTGCCAATCAATCACAAGGTCAGCGATTGGAAAGACTAACCGCTCTGGGAGAGGGGGGATGAGGCTTTCTACCCCTGTAAAGAATTATGGTCTCAGAAACCCACTAGGAGGCAATTCTACTCTACTCGGCCCTATAAGGATGGGTCCATGACTGGATGGCAGTGAGTTTGATTTTGGTTGGTCCTTTCAGAGAGGGCCACAGGAGCTTTGCTTTGTATAGTTAGTCCAACTGGCATCCTCATTATGTTATAAATTTGCAGAGAAAGTACATGAGGTGATTCAACAGAATCTGCTCATTCTTTCCAATGATGAAAGCAAGGTTCAGGAGGGCAACATTATTTCGCTTCAGCCACCTATGGAAGAGCCACAGTCAGGACCCTCACTACTTCCAGCCCTCCATTCTGTGTCCTTCCCAAGAGGTCTTAGGAGATGTGTTATATAAATGTCGGGAATGGCTCCAAGCCAGGGAGTGGGGTTTCCCTCACCTAGTTAGGCCTCTGAACATTGCCCACTGGAAGCTGGTTGCCCTTGCAGGAGACCTGGGACATCTGAAGGAAAGCAGGAAGATGTACTACCCTCTAGAAAGCTCATTGAGGGAAACCTGCCCTGTGGTGAATTATGTATGTTCCAGGCATGACTGTTTCATGGGTTTAGAGCTGTAGCCACAGTGGGCAATTGCATCTGTGAGGCCAGCAGCAGCCCTAACCATAGTGGCCCCAACAATATTTTCTACCTTGTGGCTGCCCCTTAACCAGCTTGGGCCCAAGTGCCCTGCCTGACACATTGTTACAGGTTAAACAAGGGTTCCCCTGTGGGGTTCGCCCCTCCCCACTCAGCAACTGTAGCTTCCAAACTGATAGGGCCAGAGTTCAGGCCTGTTCTCTAGAGTTGAGATTATTTTCTTAACTAATACAGCAGACACAGAATAAATAATGGAAACAGATTTGGGAAAAGGGGGGGCTCTGCTTGCTTTTACACATGAAAGCTTTATGTACACCAGAAGTTGGGGATATAACTTATTACAACAGTTCACTTTTCTTCCGCATGCAAAATGAAGCTGAATGTGAGCTCTCATCCTAAATCTCCAGCCAGAAGGGTTTCAGGAAGGCTGGTTATGCAAGTGACACTTCCTGTTTACCCACTTTGAATAATTAATGGCTGAGGATGAATTGTGACCACAAAAGTGTTCAAATGTCATGTATTTGAACAAGTGTGCCAACAATTGTAGTGGTCTAATCCGCATCCAAGGAATTGAACCAGGAATTCACATCAGCTACAGATCTTACTTTATATAATTAAATATTACTTTTAAAGTAAAATGTCAATATAGTTCAAGGCTGCTACCTGTGCTCAAAACTTAAGTGTTATTTAGTGCTATTCTTCACCATTCTGGGGGTCTCATGTACTCTTAAAACTCTGACATCCCCCTTGTCTTGATGACTCCCAACTCTATGCCTCTGGTAAAACTTGCTCCTGAACCCCGGAGCCCTCTATTTAGTTGCCTAGTAGTAGACATCTCCACTTTGGCAGCTTTCCCAAAGCCAGCATGTCTCAAATGCCCAGCCTGCACCTTCTATAGTCCTCTCCTGCCAGACTACCTTCCCTTCCCTTCAGTTAGCCAAAATGAAAACCTGGGTCATCCTTGCTGTCTTTCTCCCCTTAATTTCTGACTTACAAGGCCCTCAGATCCTGGTGTCTGCTTTGCTCTTAGCCCTGAACCCAAACCGAGGGTGTCATACATTCCCACTCATATGCCAGCTTTCAACACAGTGGTTCCTTCTCCCTCTTGCTTCATTGTTGATCTTTCCAACAATTCAGTATTGAAGTCATTTGTTCCAAGAGGCTTTCCTTGTCCTCCACCCAGGTTAGGCCTGAGGAACATGTAGTACCTATGATATGACTTTATTCACTGCTGTCTCCTCTGTTTACCATACCATGCCTGATGCCTAGTAATTGGTACTGTTAATATATACGTAGGCTAGTAATAGTTGACGTTAACAGAGAACTTTGTGTCTAGCCTCTGACTGTTGTCTGCGTGATTTCCTATTAGCAAGGGAAGGCTTGAGGAGACCTAGGAAAAGGCTTTTGGAAAAGTTCTGGGCAGGCACTAAGGTGGTATAAACTAGGATGTGAGTGATAGGGAAAAGAAGGCAGGTCAAACTATGCATGCAACTAGAGTTAAAGATTTGTGCATGTTTGGTGAGACTGGATGTGAAATAGAGAAGATCGTAAGGAGCAAAAAGAGTTCAGGATAATTGCTAGATTTTGACTTGAACTATTGTTGGCTATGGCTGCTGAAGGGTATACGTAAGTTTGTAGGGGAAAAAAGTAAAATATTTCTCTGGAACATTAGATCTGAACAGTTAATCATGTAGCCAGGTGGAAATGGAATCCCTTATTTAGGACCCACCTCTGAAGCTGTATGACTTGCCACTTAACTTCCTAATGTATTTTGAGTAACTAGCAGACCCAGAATTTGAACTCAGAGTACCTATCTGTTTAACCACTACACAGAAAGGAAGCTTCCAGGTTTATTCCCTGCCAGTGCTAGAAATTTTTTCAGAAGACAAAGTACGGTCTAATTATAGATTTTTAAATATAACTAGGTGTGCTTAAGAATATGGAGATATAGAAAGTACAGAACATCCTCAAGAGACAGCAAATGGCGGCAGCATCCCAAAGAAAAAGAAGAAACTCCCCGTGAAGGGGGAGCCCGCCAGCAGTGGACCCGAGGAGGCAGCTGCTAGCAGCAAGAGCAACAGCACTAAGAAAAAGAAAAAAATTTAAAAACCAGCCCAGGAAGATTAAAATGGACATTCCCTGGTGCTCCCCAACCCTCAATAAAGAAACAACTCCACAACACTTAAAAAAAAAAAAAAGTACAGAACAGAAGGGAAATGAGCTAGGGAAAGATGAGGGCCTGGCATAATGGTGGCTACTGGACTCTCTTCTGGATTCAATTTAAGACTGTCACAGCTAAATATCCTTTCCTTTTATTCTAAGACGCAAAGCTCCTGAGATCTTTACAGGCTTCATTTTATTCAAAACACAATGTTTTGTAAAAGAAAGATGCTGTGTTTCTTGTATTTCACTCTTGCAAACAGGGTATAGCTGTAGGGTGTACGTAAGTTAGGGCATGTTCTTTCATCTAAAGGTGTGGAGTGTCTGTTTAGGTCTTGCATCCTTTTAAAAGACACACATGAACACACAAATGCATGATGATTTAAAAATATTTTTCTATTTCATTTTAGGGATAAATCTTCTTGCCTAAATTGAATGAGGATCCTGTGCACTTTAATCTCCTGTTGGTGCCACTGGGCTAACTGAAGATAGGGTTTTGAAATCTCAGCTGTAAAGACATCCAGCCAAAGTCTCCATCTTGCCTTAATAATGTTCCAGAGGCTGAATAAAATGTTTGTGCGTGAAGCTGATACTTCCTCCAACCCAGAACCAGAATTTAGTGAGAAAGAAGACGATGAATGGATTCTTGTTGACTTCATAGGTATGGTATTAGTTGGTTTTCAAAAGTTTTGCATAAGTAAACTAGTAACTCTGCAAGTTTTTAAGCCTGAGAAGTTAATAACAAAGAATCTGTCCCTTCACCCTCCAAAAAAAAAATTTGCAGGAAACATCCTGTGCCAGATGATCAGCTAGTGAAATTGATGTCCGACTTTGCAGTTGTGCAACTCTTTCTTTCACCCTTTTCAAATCAGATTGAAGAAGAAACCTTCTATTAGACAAACAAAACTCAGCTGGCACATTGTTTATTCAATGATATGGAAGGAAAAATTCTTAAAACCATCCCTAAAAACCAGCATACCCCCATCACACATTATGATCAGAAATTGTCTTATGTTTATTTTATGGGGGAAATGTAAGTGCTTTTCCCAAAAAAAAAGGTAACTAAAGGCAGGTATGTATGCATGAGCTAACAGTAGCATCTCTTCTTTTTCTATGCTCTGAATTTGATGGGTGGCCCCATGATGACGAATCAACGTAATCCTTCTTCCATGGGAACGTTCAACAATACTCTGGTGGGCTACAATCTAGATTCCTGTACTGGGTTCTCAGCAGAGGAAGAAGAGGAAGAGGACATCAGTGAAGAATCACCTACTGAGCACCCTTCAGTCTTTTCCTGTTTACCGACGTCTATTGAGTGCTTGGCTGATCCAAATGATTCCTGCTTCCTCCAGTTTGAGTCCTGTCCAATGGAAGAGAGCTGGTTTATCACCCCTCCCCCATGTTTTACTGCAGGTGGATTAACCACTATTAAGGTGGAAACCAGTCCAATGGAAAACCTTCTCATCGAACATCCCAGCATGTCTGTATATGCTGTGCATAACTCCTGTCCCAGTCTCAATGAGGCTAACTGTGGGACTGATGAATTTCATAATACAAGTAGTCCCAGGTATGTTGTAAATATTTTTCTCTCTCCAGGGACAGATTTTATTTATTTCCACTTTCAATTAAAAGCTACTTTTTTGAAAGATGCCAAACAATTGTGTTAGATATTTATAAAAGCATGTGCTTAATGTACAGGGTGAGTAGTGCTATGAAAAAACTTGTTTATCCTAGATTTTTAAAACTTTACATGGTCCCGGCATGTAAGAGTTATCTCATTTGTAATATCCTGGTTTGGAGTATAAAGAAAAAGACTGGCATTTCTGCTAACAAGTAGTTTAGAATGTAACTGACATGTTACACACTGGATTATCTTGGGTAGCAAATTTGACTAAAATACCTTGTCTTAAAATAAACTTTCTTCCAGATCTGCCTAGCTAGGTAATATCAAATGGAATTTAACAGAAATTTTAAGTGTATAGTAAAACGATAGTTTACCAAAACATATTGCTTTGAGTTGCTTTTTGCTCTACTGATAAAAGATTTCACACCCAGACAATGTATGGCTGTTTAGGGGACTGAAGTGGTCTGAAGAGTTGTTGAATGGCAGATAGGTTGCGGGCATTGGTGATGGAGGTTGGTATGTTCCAAAACAAACATACACTCTGGCTTTTCCAGAGAATATTTTAATGATGCTCACACCCACTGAAATAAAGTAAAGCCCATGACCATGCTATTTTTATTTAGCTCACAGGCCAGCTAGCCCATAATGCACTTCAGTGGAATGTTCCTTAGGAGAATGTATTTCGAGAATGCTGGTACTCAACTTAATTTCCTCTTGGGTCATTCAAGGGTACAGGTAAATTGGTTGCTTGAGAGCCATTTAGAATATTCTGATGATCAATCCTCCCAGTGAGAAGAAAGTCTCACTAGATTGTCTCAGCTTTGACTCTCCTAACTAACTGGCTGTATGTGTATATATATCCTAATATTTTCTGTTTTCCAAATATAAACATGGCCCAAGCAACTCATTAATTTGTTAACTTTGCTGAAGCTTGCTGTCTCTAAAGTCTCAGTGATTGTTTATGAGAGTAAACATGTGCTTGAACCAAGGACATCAATTCACTTTTGTATATTTACATGACACTGGGCTTTATAGTTTATAAGAGCTCTGGTGAGAAATGTATCTTTAACTGGTACGTTTTGAAAGATTTTTCATGAGGCCAGTCTTTCAACTATTCCAATAAAAATTTAGCTCAGTCCCAGCCTCCACCGCTTTCAGCTTCCTCTGCTCTGGTTCGCCACCACCCATCTCTCTGATCACCATGGAAGAAGAAATTGCTCCCCGGTCATGGACAATGGCTCTGGCATGTGCAAGGCCGGATTGACCAGCAGCAACAATCCCTGCAAGGCGTCATGGTGGGCATGGTCCAGAGCAACGAGACATCCTGATGGTGAAGTACCCAGTTGAGCACAGCATCATTACCAATTGGGATGACATGAAGATCTGGCACTACCTCTTTGACAATGAGCTGTGCGTTGCTCATGAAGAGGGGTGCTGCTGGTGGAGGTGCCCCTCAACCCCAAGGCCAACAGGGAGATGACCCAGATCATGTTTGACACCTTCAACTCCCTGGCCATGTATGTGCAATCCAGGTCGTGCTGTCCCTGTATGTCCTGGACTGCACTACAGGCATAGTCATGAACTCCACTGACAGCGTCGTGCACACTGTGCCCATCTACGAGGGCTATGCCCTACCCCACACCATTCTGCGGCTGGACCTGGCAGGCCGGGACCTGACCGACTGACTACCTCATGAAGATACTGACCAAGCAGAGCTACAGCTTCACAACCACAGCTGAGCAAAAGATCGTGCCTGTTATCAAGGAGAAGCTCTGCTATCTTGCCCTGGACTTGGACCAAGAGATGGCCACTGCCACCCCCTCCTCATCCCTGGAGAAGAGTTATGGGCTGCCCATGGGCCAGGTCATCACTATCAGCAGTGAGCGCTTCTGCTGCCTGGAAACACTCTTCTAGCCCTCCTTCCTGGGCACGGAGTCCTTAGACTGCATCCATGAGACCACCTTTAACGCCATCATGACGTGTAACGTGACATCCAGAAGGACCTGTATTCCAACACGGTGCTGTCCAGCAGGACCACCATGTACCCTGGCATTGCAGACCACATGCAGAAGATCACAGTGCTGACGCCTACCACCATGAAGATCAAGATCATTGCACCCCAGAACGCAAGTACCCCATGTGGATTTGCAGCTTCATCCAAGCCTTGCTGTCTACCTTCCAGCAGATAGGGATCAGCAAGCAGGAGTATAATTCAGGCCCCTCCATTGTCCAATGCAAGTGCCTCTAGACTAGCGGTTCTCAACCTGTTGGTCGCGACCCCTTTGGGGGGTGGATCGACCCTCTCACAGGGATCTCCCGATTCATAACAGTAGCAAAACTACAGTTATGCAGTAGCAATGAAAAT